CTCCAACTCCACACCTGGGACATCCAAAATCAGCTTTCAGGAAAACAAGAAGGTTCTGCCTCATCCTGCTCACGCCCAGCTCAGATCTCTCTCATCCCACAGCGCTTTTTTAATGGAAGCTGCCACAAGGCATTGGACCCAGCAATAACAACAGTTAAACAGTGTCCCTTTGTAAAAGTACACATAAAGAAAGAACTAGAATTTCTGAGTGGTTTCAAGGTTTTTACTCCACCTATACTGCAGCAATCTCATTTCTAAGTGACAGAGCTGTGGATCATTTACAGAAATCATCTCTGAAGTGCCAGCTGAAACATCTCCACCACCTATGGACACCAAGTACATGAAAAGCCACAGCTCAGTTTTGTTTCAAGGTCTTCCAGTCTGCTCAGGGTTAAATAGAAAGCACCCTCAAGCTGACTGCCTCAGAAATAAATCAGTGCAGATAATTTACTTATTATTACCATGAGAATCGATCAGCATAAAGGAACAAACAGTGGAGCTACTACACACACCACATTTGTACTTGCTGTCCACATGTTGCACCTATTCCTCTGCTCTTTTTCCTCCAACAACCATCAGAATAATTATTCTCAGAGAGCATTAACTACAGCTCAAGCTGCAGGCATAATTTACATTTCCCTAGAGACCCAATTAGAGGTTATAGGAAACAACTCTGAAGACAACCTCCCACTCCACAGTTTCATATTTATATAACTAAATCCCCTCATTGTTTCACTTGCCTTTTGGGTCTGGCAGCCAAAGAGCATAGTGCAAAGGGCTGACTAACTTTAAACCCACTTAAAATTGAATAAATATATACATTATGAACAGTTTCTCTTCAGAATAATCTTTCTTCTTCCCTTTTTAGAGGTAAAACATGCACTTGGTTCTAAGTGGCTCTAATTAAAGCAAAAGGGTGCTCTCCTTCAGAATGAATAGATCACTGTATTGCATCACTTGCCTTAAATGAATGCATCAAAACAAGGTTATTGGGTGTCCTGGAGATACCACAGCTCTACCAAGGCAGCTAAACTGCCTCACTGTGCACTAAATTGTGGTTTGCAGAACTCTGTAGATGTTTTTTTTTGTTTGTCTGTTGATTTTTTATTATTTAAATACAGGCTGAACACAAGCTAAGGCACTGTGTGTCGACACCTGGGGTCTCCCGGAGCCAGTGCTCCACACTTGCTGTGCCAAAACTGCACACTGAAAATGAGCCCAGAGCCAAAGCAGTCTAGAGATCAAGCCTTTTCCTGAAATAAACCCCCTGAAGATCCCTCTGACCAACACCTTGCTGACTTTGGCATGTGCCTCACTAACAAATGTTCACAATTAAGGACCCATAGTTTTATATATATATATATATCCTATCATACAAGCTGCAGAAAACTGTTTATTTCCAGCAGGAAATGATAAAATGCAGCAAGTGGACATCTGTCAATAGTTGAAGCCACATTTGCTCTTTTTAAAAGTTTGGGTTCCTCTAGGTTTTCCCCAATCTGTTTGCATTTCTCTAATACACGACCCTATCACATTTCTTGGCATTAAGTGAACACAACACAAGCATGGACGTTTTGGAGTTATGCAGAGAATATGGGCAGAAATCATGCAGCCATTTTCCAGGATTTTTGTCATCCAACTTCAAGAACTACAAAAGGGCAAAGAACATTTTTAAAATTAAATTGCAGAAAGTAATAGCTCAGAACAAAAACATCACACAATTAAATCCACCACTACACAAAGCAATTTACAAAGATGAAAAACTACTAAGAACATTTTGATTTCCAGGCTAGGCTAATTACATAATTTGGTCACAAAGTGTTAAGAATTCCAGGGCTTACATCAGTTAGCAGAATTCCATGAGGTGTTTCAGTACATCTTTTCTGATCTGCCTTGTTCTCAGGGGTCCTAACTGTAATTGAGCAGCAATTACCTGTGATTTTTCTTCTCTTTAAGAAAAGAAAAAACCAACAAATCATTTAGCTGAGACAGTCTTGCAAAAACATGAACTTCTCCCAACAATGCACCTCCACTGGTCCACTCCTTCTGGAATTAACATGTTGGTGATATTTAAAGCATTAAATCAACTTATAACACTGAACATCTTACAGAGAGGAAGATTTGCAGGTGTGGGGTAATTTATTTTGGCATCCACCGCCAGTTCAGGGAGGAGGGATGAACAGAGGAACCTGGATGAGTCTAGTTTTGAATGTATTTAGAACTCCATGAGAAAGAGGTAGACCCAAGGAAGCAAGAAACAACATTGTACCACAACACACAGGTAGGAGCCTGGGAAAGTTCTCATCCAAGACATTTCCCACTCAGGAGAAGTGAGAACATTCTCATTTCCTTACTCAAGCCCTCACTTGAAAATTATTCTTTCCTATGCAGTAAACAGACTGGAAATACATAACATGCAGATCTGCAAAGGAGGAGGATGTGGATTCTCTGTTACAGGAAGACAAGGAATATAAATAGGAAAGCAACACTGGCCAAAAAAAAAAAAAACCCGCGGAAAAAAAAAAAAAACCACAAAAAAAAACAACAACAAAAAAACAACAAACAAACAAACAAAAACACACCCAAAAAAAACCACCAAAAAAAAAAAACCAAACAAACAAAAACAAACAAGATAAAGAAATGGAAAAGAAGGACTGAGAAGCTTAAAGTTCCCTTGATAGACAAAGCATATGTAGGAGCCAAACTCACAAAGATAACTTCCTTTTTCCACTCAAATTACTCCCAAACTCTCAGTTCTCACTGTTTGGATAAATTCTGGTGGCTGTGCAGCTTTTCCATAGGAGCTACCTCAGGGCTTTTATTCAGGAGTCACCTCAAACACACACAGGAATAAAAGTTCCAACACCAATCCCCATCAAATGCCAGGAGCACGTACTCCCAGCTTCTCAGCAACTTCAAAACAACAAACTAGAAAAGAGTTTTATGTTAGCAGAGCCCTACTTGTAGTAAAGCATACAGAAACCTGCACATTCAAATGTTCTTTTTGTGACAAATGCCAGAATAACTTCACTCACAAATACATTCATTTTTTCCACCCTTACATCTTGCTTGAGGAATTCATAGTGAGTAAGGAACACGTTTTCCTTGCAGGTAATATTTTACATTTGCTCAGCTACAATGGTTTAGCACTTGCACTTACCCTTTTCCACTGGCACCTGCATATGATCAAACTTAAAGATGACACTGAAAACTGGAATTGTGCTGCCCATAAGTCAGCAATCAGTGCAGATAAGCAACATTTAACATCATGCCATCAGAAGAGTTCATGAATTTATCCTGCCTGACCTGTGGTGGCTGCAGTTTCAGTCATTGGCTTAATTAAGAGACACAGGTGTTTTGGTTTTGCTGCTTTCCTTGCTCATAGATTAACTGGGTGCCTGCACCTGGTGTCTCACTTCATTTACTGGGTCATCACTGTTCATTATTTCTTGTCTCCAGTCTTGCTCTTTCCCACAGAAGTTCCCTATCTACACAAAAATGAAGGAGTAAACAGAGAAACTTCAGGAATACAGAAATAAACTAGTATTTATTCCATTGTGCTATTGACAAACAATTCCTGATCCACCTTAAAGAAATATCCAATATTTTAACAACTCCTTAGAACCTGTAACTGCACATCATCCAAGATCAGCAAGTGCTAGAATTTCACTTTTCCACTTGGTGAACAGAAAGAAGGAGGAGAGAAATGGCTGAGATGTCAAATGAGGATACAGAAAAATTAATGGACTGCTTTTTTCAACAGCATTTTATTACAGAGAGGCCCCTCAGACTTTAGGCCTACTAGGACCAAGCATTAAAATTTTTAAAGAGACATTACTTGCAATGACTGCCTTGTTCTCTTTTTCTCCTTCTCCTACCTTCCCTCACATATTTTTCTGTCTGTACCCTGCACATGAACAGCCTTTTTCCTCTGCCTTTTCCTTTAGCTTTGTGTTTTGCCAGCCTTCCAACAGTGACCCCTGAGCACTGATTCCATTTGTCCTCAAACCTGAACCAGTCTGGTTTATGTCACCTCATCAGTTCTGATCACCCTCACCTCAGGGAAAGTGTCTTCTCTTCCTACCTGTTTCTAAAATCTGCTACAGAAGAGACAATAAATGCTGCCTCCTGCTCAACTAAAGTCCAAAGCCTGTGAAAATACAAGTTATCTACATGCCTTTGCTCGTCTTATACATTAGTAATGAGTCTGGAATGTTTCCCCACAGCAATTAAGACACTTTCAGTTCAAATTACTATATTCTGCCATCGAGGTTTTATTCAAAAAAAAAAAAAAAAGTCACACATCTATTAACATCACGACTGAGAACTGTACAAATAACTCCAAGACTGCAAAAGGCACAGCCACAAAATGCTTCTTGTCCTCACTAGTTTACTCAGCTTGTTAGGGTGAGTTACAGGCACAAGGGTTAAGGTAGAGAGAAACACCACTCACAACGAGAAAAGAGTTTCAGTGCACCAGAATACACATATGTAATAACAATTGTTATTACCTCGGTTAGAAACAAAAGACCTGGGTGTTTTGTGTTGTTGGTGGGGAGGTGCCAGGTCTCAGCTGAAGGAGGTGGTGAAGGAAGGACAAAACTATCACCACCACCAGTACCACAGAAAGGTCCAGCATGTCAAAAAGATTGCAAAAAAATTTGCTCTAGAAGCTATCTTGTAGCATTTATTCATTTATTAAGCTAAGAAAATCAAATATTCATAATGTCAACTTGGTAAGTGAAACATTCAGCCCATTCTGAAAAAATGTTAAAATGCTGCCTATGTCATTTCTCTTCAAAACACTGATGTGGGATGAAAAATATAACAAAGGTGGCTTGTTCCCAATCCACTCTGTGCTCACACAAATATTTACTCTCCTACTTTATCAATTTAAAGTATTGCTGTAGAAGAATAGGCTTCAAAAAGTGCTTCTCAGTGCATTTCTTTTTACAATACTGCATTGCAAAGAGCACAAGCCAAAGGTTTTTAAATATTACCTTCATAGAGAACTTCATACTCAGTGGGAACACAGCTGTATCCTTGGATCAAGCCTGGAAGGCATTCCTTACAGAAGGAGTGGAGGCAGGGGAGCATTCTGGGCTCCCTCCTCCGCAGTTCCCATTTGCACACCAAACAATTCCACAACAGATCCAGGGAATCCATTCCTGCTGGCTGAGGTCTGGCCCTGAAAACATGGAGAGTCACAAAATGGCTCATGGCCAGCCCTGCACTTGACAAAACACTCGATCTCTCAGTGCAAACCAGAGGGCAACCCGGGATGCACGATCAAATAAACATTCATGTAGCCCCTGTGGGGAAAAAAGTTCCTTGCAGCTGAAGATCACATACCTGCTTTATGGAGGAGAATATCTTTGCAGATTGTTGTGCAGGAAAGCGTGGTTTAAGGTTTACAAACCATGATCCCACTATCTCTCTAGTATTTGCAACTTCTGTAAAAGCTGAACTAATCTTCCTTATCGATCTACTTACAAAGCTGAATTGTCACACGCTGTACACTTCCTGCTAGAAGCACTGAAACTGTGCAATTAAAATGATGAGATTCTCTGGCTGCTTTTACAATTTCACTCAAATATTTTACAGTTTTCAGGTAAAGATAATAATACCCTTAAGTCCATCATTTCAGCAATGCATGTAAGAAAGCTGCTTTGAAAAATGTACAGCTTCTGACAATCTTCTTTATAGAAAAAGCACTTTGCAGTGATCAAATTTTAGCTACCAAGACGACCACAGATCAGATTATAGACCAAACCTGAGCTTCCCAGTGTTCCTCCCACCAGCCCAAGCTCCCCAAGGTCAACTGAGAGTTTTGCAGTTCATGTTTCACCCTCAGCTCTGATTGTCAGAGATGTGTATCAGATACTGACTGCAAAGGGCAACTCCTGCAAGATGTATCAGAGGAGAAAAAGCAGATAAAGCCTCATTTCCTCTGGAGCCACCCTTCCAGCTGATCCAGCCTGCCGGGACCACAGTCCCATGGAGCTGCTGATGGCCCTGGCACGGTGGCCCTGCGACCAGCAGGATGGAATTGAAGCTACAGGAATTAGCTTCAATCTCCAGATTTATGCAGCACAGAAGAGTAGCAGCTCTAATCTTAGGACTACCTCTTCTCCTGAGGGATTTTGTCTTCTTGTAGATTCCAGTGGAAATCTACCAGCAGATCTGGGTTTGGGTTTTATTCTGCAATGCAAAAAAATTACGAGTGTCTCAGAAATTAACAACCAGTTTTTTTAAGCATTGTATCCTGAAGTCTTCAGTATTTAATATATTTTAGAAGAAAAATGGACCCTATATTGTCTGCATCCTATTTCATACCCAAGACCCACTCAACTAGGTAGATACCCACCAACTTGACTGACAAATTACTTAGAGAAATTCAAACCTACCCTAAAACTCCAGATTCCAATTCCAAAACCAGAGGGCCCTTTGGAGATGAGCTGTGCCTGTGGTTTAATTAACATTTTATCAGTGCCTCTTACACGAGCTCACTTTTTACAGTGCATCTTCATCAACCATCTCTCAGGGGCAGATGTCACTGAAGCAGCACAGCCTCTCAGCTCACTTCATCTCTCACTTCTGGCAGCTCCTGTTGCTAAGACAAAGTTGCACCTACAAAAACAAGTAATGTCTGCAGTAGGAAGTTGAGGTCTGAAACTACCACAGTGTTGACACAGAGAAACCACAGCCCAAAGCATCCATGCACAGAGAACCAGTGCAAACAAAGCCCCATATTGGGAAATGCTCTGTCACCTTACAAGCCAAATCTGGGGCTGGGTGAGCAGAAGCAGGTTACTGTAAATTTCAATTTATGCCTTTTGAACAACATGCAAAACTGAGTAGAAGTTTTTCAGTAGGAAGGGGAAGGGTGAAAAAAAAGTGTTTAAAATTTAGTTCTGAGGCAGGTAGGCACAGTAGTAGTCAAGCAGCTGGAGGAGGAGAAGGCGGATGAATAAAATGAGCTATAAGAATTCTGGCCCAGAAAGAGAATCCGGGGAATGACAGGCCCGACATTGGTGCTGGGGAAGGCCATGGCACAGATCATGTCAAGCACCATCGACTGACACTTGTGCAATAGCCAGGGCATCAGACCCAGTCAGTGTGGCTCATGGAAGGCAGGTCCTGCCTAACCAACCCCATCTCCTGCTCCAACAACATGACCCACTTGGGGGATGAGGGAAAAGCTGGAGCTGTCTGTCTGCCTGGACCGCAGGAATGCCTTAGACACCACTTCCCACACCTTCTCCTGGAGAAACTGGCTGCCCATGGCCTGGAGGGTACACTGGTCACTGGAGAAAGAACTGGCTGGATGGCTGGGGCCAGAGTGGGGGATGGAGCTACAGCCAGCATCACAAATGAGGAAACAGCAGTCCCGGCAGCCAGTGAGACACAGTTCCCAAACTCCTCTGGATTTTGGAACAAACTGCCCAATTATGTCACAAGCAGCAGGACCACTGGCTAAGATGAACTGTTTTATAAATGGAATGCACTTCAACCTCACCCTAAAAGCCCTTTAAATTTAATTGCTGCCAAACTCTAGGTTAGAAGCTGATTAACTAGGACTCCATCACACACATACTAGAGGGTCATGTGCACCAACTTCAGCAGCAAGCATGAAACCAGTGACAGTGCTTACAGGCCCCTGGGCTGACACTTCAGAACCAGCTCTCTGGCTTTAGTTATTTGTTACTTGTTATTTTTTCCATCAGATCCTGCTTTGGCACTCAGGGCCAAGCCTTGCAGAGAGCAGGAATCCTACTTTGATGTTACAACCAAGCAAGGATTGTTTCAGGTTGTCATTTAAACCCAATGCATCAGCACTGCACACAGAGCAGCTCCAGAGCTGCGCCATTGCTTTGCCAGCGGTAAGGAAGGCTGGGAATAGCTGGCACCAACTCTGTCCCACAGGTGGGAGCAGCAGGAATTGCACACCCAGCCTGGGGAGGGCAGAGATTGCAAAAGTCAGTTTACAGTTACTGGTGCACTGCTGTCACTTTGCGTTTCTTTGTCCACACTCCTGCTGTTCCATTCCCACAGGCCAGGGCACCATCCCCAGAAACTTCCCCTGGATGTCATTTCAGTGTTCAAGAATCCTCACCAAAATCACACCAAGTCCTCTTTTCAGACAGCTGTAGAAAGGATCACTAACAAAAGAGCAGCACAAATACAGAACTTAATTTTGCCACCCTATAAAGACAAAACAGTGAGGTACATGGCAGTACCTCACACTGATGAGGCACGTGGCAGGCACTGAACACTGTAGTCAGGTAATTTCAAAATAAAGTGAGCAGTCAAACCACTGATCAAATATCATGCAGGTAAGATTAAGTGTGAACTGTGTCTGGAGAAATCAGGAAAGAAAAAACAGAACAACCCAACTTCTGTAAACCAGTTCATTTTATGCATTGTTTATTCAAAAATTTTGAATAAAACAAAAACTTTTATGCCACAAGCACACAGGCACCACCAACTTCTTTGATCTTCTCCTCTGCTCTTCTACTGAAGAACTTGGCTTTCACAATGACAGGCTGCTTGGGCAGCTTCCCCTTGCCCAGCACTTTGTAGTAGCCCTGGGAAGATTTAAAAAAGAAGTTCAGTGTTTGTAATCAGCTGGCAGGCCCCTACATTCAGTCCTGTTAACACACCGGTTAAAAACAGAACTATGATCACCATGACCTTATCCGGTTAATTCATTACATTAAAAGGACAATCATGACACGAGGTGAGAAGTGGGCCCTAAGTGGCCAACAGAGGCAGAGCAGTGTCCCTGATTCGGTGGCTGGCTGAGACACGGGACATCAGAGCCAGTGAATATGGATCAGATGTTTCTGTCCGAGAACTATAGCACACCAAGACAACCAAACATGTGGAGATGTGACTCTAGTCTCGAGGGTGACATGATATGAGACATTCTACCATGGTTTTGTTCCCTCAGGAACATTTCAAACCAGCCATCCTTCACCACCTACCCGAAGGAGGGCAGTGCCTGTCCACAAACACACACCAGCAGGACAAAAAGCTCTTACAGGGAAAAATGTAACACTCCAAGTGTTTATGTAACTACTCACAGCCCAGGGATCTGGCTGGCAAAGCGCTTACGTGCAGCTCAGCACTAGCCCAGCAGCACAGGCAGAGCCCGGCACTCGTGGGAGGGCAGCAACGCAGGCTCAGTCCCAGCAGGACTCACCGAGCGCACGACGTCGATGACCGGGGCCAGGCCGGCCTCGTTCTTGGCGTAGTTGAGCCTGGTCTGCTCGCTGACCAGCGTCCACAGCTTGTCCAGGTTGACAGTGGGACAGAACTTCTGGTTTCTCTTCAAGTGATAGTGCCTCATGCCCACTTTCCCGAAGTAACCAGGGTGGCTGTGGGAGAAACACATTCCTCATTAGATCCCACTTTTATCTCACCCGAACAAGCAGAACTCTAAACTAACACTGAAACGAGCAACTTACAAAATCAGGGTATCCAGAATGCCACACTGCACCTTTTTCATACAAACATGTGTACAATTTAGGTGCAATACTGATTAGTATCCAAACCAAGGAATAATTACACTCTCTCTAAGTGCTCCTTCTCTCTTGAACTCACACCTCAATCCCGCTCCCTGCTGAGGCTGTATTTCCAGGGAAACCCCACCCGCAGGGAGGGCTGTCCTGCCTGGAATGTTCTGGCAGTGCTGTCACTGACCCGGTGACTGACTGAGCCAGGCAGGGCACAGCCAGTGAATAGAGATCAGTGGTTCCTGTCCGAGGACTCCAGCACACCAGGACCACAGGCAGGGCCCAGGTGTGACTCTATAGTCTCGGGAATCGGGAATCAGAATGTCCCTCCCCTGTACCCGAGGCAGCCAACAGGATTTAACATCCCATTCTGAATTTGCTCTGTGTGCACTGCTAGGCAGGGACCACACTGTAACAGGCAAATGTGGCCAGCTTTACCTAACGCTACACTGAGCTCTCCAAAATGCCAAGGGAAAAGGTTTTCGATTTTAGGGTAAGTGGGGACACGAGCAGCTGTAATGCCACGCTTCCATTAAAAGAAAAAACACACAGAATTGCAGAAAACTTTGCTTATTCACATATAGAAGTCAGTTGCTTCTACTTCAGGAGCATGCATGTTGCTAGCAGATATTTAAGACTTTAGCTTACTATTTATCAAAGTTAATCCTGTGATGGTGCAAACCACCGGCATTACCACGTCCT